GCTGTGAGTCAATTAAACATCTTTTTTAAATAAATTACCCAGTCTCAGGTATTACTTCATAGCAGCTTGAGAATGAACCAATATACCCCAGCCAGAGCAATCACGCAAAATAAACAAATAAAAGGCATCCAAACAGAAAAGGGGAAGTCAAATTTTCCCGGTTCACTGATGACATGACCTACATCTAGAATGCCTCAGTCTCCACCAAATATCTTTTGAATTTGAGAAATTAATTTAGTAAAGTGTGAAGATCCCTTTACAAAAATTGGTAGCATTTCTACATACCAATAATGATCCAGCAGATAATCAAATAAAGACGGCAATCCCATTTACAACAGCTAGTAAAAAATAAACTAAGAATAATTTTAGCCAAAGAGGTAAAAGATATCTACAAGGAAAACTACAAAACACTGGTGAAAGTAATTGTAGATGCCAAAAACAAATGGAAAAATATCCCTTGCTCTTGGATTAAAAAAACTAACATCATTAAAATTACCATACTACTCAAAGCAATCTACAGATTTAATGCAATCCGTTACAAAAATCATTTTTCACAGAAATAGAAAATACTATCCTCAAAATCATATGGAACTAAAAAGGAGCCCGAATAGCCAAATAAATACTAAGCAAAAAGAATAAGGCTGGAGGCATCTCATTACTGACTTCAAATTATACTATAAGGCTACAGTAACCAAAGCAGCATGGTACTGATATAAAAATAGACACATATATCAAGGGAACAAAATAGGGAACACAGAAATAAAGCCAGGTACTCAGAGCCAACTCTTTTGTGACAAAATCAACAGGAATATACACTGGGGAAATGACATCCTTTTCAACAAATGGTGCTGGGAAAATTTGACTGTCATACAGAGAAGAATGAAATTGGACCCTTATCTTTCAGCAAATTCAAAAGTCAACTCAAGATGGATTAAACCCTTAAATGAAAGACATGAAATTATAAAAGTACTGTAAAAATACCTAAGGAAAATTATCCTGGACATTGGTCTAGGCAAAATATTTATGAATAAGATGTAAAAAGCATAGGCAATAAAAACAAAAATAGACAAATGGGACTTAATTAAACTAAAAATCTTCTGCACAGCAAAAGAAATAATCAAGATTGAACAGGCAACCTACAGAATGGGAGATAATATTTGCAAATAATGCATGTGACAGGGGATTAGTAAACAGAATTTAGAAGGGACTTAAACAACTCAAAATTAAAACTCCAAATAATCCCAGTACAAAGTGGGCAAAGGACATGAATAAACATACAAATGACTAACGGGCATATGAAAATGCTCAACGTCACTAATCATCAGAGATACGCAAATTAAAACCACAATGGGATATCATTTTACATGAGTCAGAATGGCTATTTTTCAAAAGACAAGAAATAACAAATGTTTGTGAGGATTTTTAAAAAGATAAAAAATAACAAATGTTTGTGAGGAGAAAACGTAATGCTTATACACTGTTGGTAGAAATGTAAATTAGTACATTCACTATGACAGTAGGGAGATTTCTCAAGGAACTATAAATAGAACTGCCATTCAATCCAACAATCCCACTATTGGGTATCTACCCAAAGGAAAATAACTCACTATATCAAAAAGATATCTACACTCATATGTTTATCGTAGTACTATTCACAACAGCAATGATATGGGATCAACCTAAGTGTCTGTCAACAGATGATATGATAAAGAAAAACTGCAAGATATATATATATGCATATATATATGCATATATATATGCATATATATATGAATATATATCTTGCACATTTTTAGGATCATAGTATTCCATTTTATATATATATATATTCCAAATAGTATTCATATATATATATATATATAATATATAAAAAAAGGCACATATCACCATCACTGCTCCCAGGTTTGCTTTTTAATATAATTTCGCCATTTGTTTTTGTTGTCATATTTTCTTAATAGCCATACAGTTTCAAAATCATGGGAAATTTATCCTAACAGGCATATTTGCCTAACAGGCAAATTTATCCTACATTTCATGGGTAATTTTCTTCTCAAAGACAACTCTAAGTTTACACTCCGATCAAATATTTTAATAACAGAGCTCTCATTAGTTAGGATAGACTAACCCATTATCAAATTCCTATCTATCTATCTACATAGATAGAGAGAGAGAGAGAGAGAGAGAGAGATAGATAGATAGATAGATACAATATGTATATATACACGTATATATATACGTGTGTGTATATATATATAAATGGAATACTATTTAGCCATAAGAAAGAATGAAATTTGTCTTTTGCAGCAATATGGATGAAAATGGAGGCCATTATCTTAAGCATAACAAGTCAGACACAGAAAGACAAATACCATATGTTCTCACTTATAAGTGGGAACTAAATAATGTGTACACAGGAGTGTAAAGTATGGAATGATAGACAATGGAAAGGTGAGGGGATGGAATAGGGTGCATGATGAGAGATTACTCACTGGATACAATGTACATTATTTGGGTAATGGATACCCAAAAAGCCCTTCTTCCACCACCGTGCAATCTATGCATATGACAAAATATATTTCTCATAGATTTGTACAGAAATAGAAATTTTTATCAGCGTGTTTTAATTAAATATATCTATCTTAACTTACTTTAGTCAAAATAACGACATGAAAGTAGATACATTTCTCTTTAGCATAAAATGGTTTCTATGTATTTGTGTATTTGGCAGGACATAAATAAGCATGTGATCTAATTTCACCTGTTAAAAAGTTGTATAAAATTGTTTGTGACAATGCCAACTTTCTTTTTTAAAAGGTTGCATATGAAATAGACTAATAAGCCCTAAACAAAATGTCAGTTATATTGCTGTAATAGGTAAAAAAAAAAACAAAAAAACAAACAAAAAAAACCAATATTTGGATTAAGAAGATAATTATCTTTTCCATTTCCAGGACCATAATTATGAACCACATTTCCATGTGCCTCTTGACGCAAATTATTCACAAAGCTAACTGAAGTCTCAAACATTCAAACGAAATACAGCTAATTAAATGTGGTACTTATGAAAACCAACCAATGTACTTTTGAAGAGTCATAAGCATGCCTCTATTAAGAGTACTCTTCCATCATTCCAAAGCCAGTATGACAATACAATTACTTTGAAGTGCTTTTGTTTGTTTGTTTTAGAGAAGGAGCCTCACAATGTTGCCCAGGCTGATCTTGAACCCCTGGTTTCAAGTGATCTTCCTCTCTTTAGGCTCCTAAGTAGCTGGGACTACAGGCACATGTCACTGCCACTGCTCCCAGGTTTGTTTTTTAATATAATTTCACAATTTGTTTGTGTTGTCATATTTTCTTAATAGCCATCCAGTTTCAAAATCATGGGAAATTTATCCCACATTTCATGGGTAATTTTCTTCTCAAAGACAACCCTAAGTCCAAGTTTACACTCCCGTCAAATATTTTAATAACAGAGCTCCCATTAGTTAGGATAGACTAACTCATTATCAACCACAAGCTTTATTTTTACCTTTAATTTTTTTTATTGATTCAGGGGTACAAGTGCAGTTTTGTTGCCAGGGTATTTGTGTAGTGGTGAAGTCTGCAACCAGCCTCTCCAGGAAGAATACTTCCAGTTGGTGTTATAAATATATAGATGAAGCTTTATAAAAATGATCAATTTTTCTGTTCCTTTCTTACAAAGGTTATGCTTAAAATTTTCTTCAGTGCTTTAGAAGGCTCCCAAATTGCAAGCTAATTTTAAAATGAAACAAGTATGTTCAAAATGTCACATTTCCTCTGCCTTCATTTCTTTCACCTCCATGCCTATCTATTATAATCATATCAATATTGCAAGGCTCAGTTGAAATCCATTAACTATAATACCTTCCCAGATCCCTGCCTCCTCTCTTCTAAAAGGTAGGTATAATCACTCATTCCTCTAAATTCCTGTAATACTTGGTGGTTCTCTTATGTTATCCATCATAGTCTGTCTTGTTGGTATAAGTTAAGTGGATACTTGTTTGTCTCACATTTATGTTTGGGAGCTCCTGAAAGTCAAGGTGTATATCGTACTTATAAATTTCCCATATTGCTCAATACCCTGACATGTAATTATTAAGGGTGTAATATTTGTTGAGTAAGTGGTGGAATAAAGGAGGGAATCAATGGGTTTCTGTGATTAACTAAAATCTTGGGATACTATGTACCCATATATCACCTCTTCACAAGAAGAAAAAGCATTCAAAAGCCTAGTTCATATGACAATTGAAAAGAGAGCAGAAAAGCCATATGCCACACTAAGAGGAAAAAGAAGGGGTAGCTACAAAATATCCTTTGTGTTTCATTATCCCATGCGCATAAACTTGAAAAAAAAGTATTCTAACATCATAACGTTAATGCAATAAGTTATCATAAATATTGTTAATGTTTTGCAGGTCTTTACATATATTTTACTCATATTATCTCTGGACAGCCCATGAAATAAGCAGCATAGATTATTAACTATGACCTTCATTTTACAGTTGAGGAAATATGTTCAGGAGGGCTGTCATGCCCAAGTTCATTCAGCTAAGTTGCAAATCAGAATTGGAACCCAAAACTGTCTGACTATAAGTCCTGTATGGTATATCATAGCTCATAACTGTCCCTGAAACTCCAAAAAGATGCGCAGTGTTTACTTTGTTTCACCCCAGCAATGGGAGTGGTTTTTGCACACTCTTCTACTCTGTCATTAGTCTGCCCATGCCTCCCACACACTGTGCACATGACTGCAAGACAGGAAACAGAATTAAAAGTGAGATCTGTGGCCATGGAATGAAAACAAACAAACAACAACAAACCTGGAAGGCCTAGTCACAAACTAAGTCCATCAACACTGTATGCTAACTAACTGAATCAATGAGCTGAGTGACTACTGAAGATCCAGTGGGATTGTTAATATTTTATCTAAATTTGCATGTAATTGACACTTTTGTCCTTTTCTAAATCATGATTCTTACCTTTATAACAGAGGTACCAGCTCTGGAGAGTGGACTGTGAATCTGTGCTGCAGCAGCCATGTTGGCAATAGTATTGAGATGGTTCATCTGATTCATTGCCATGGCAACTGATGCAGGAGGTAAGCTGACTGGAAGTAGGGGATGAGGCATCATCATAAATGGCAGATCCAGTCCTAAAAGAGACAGTGCATATTAAACTTGTTACATTATGATTATCTGAAATAGTTTGTTAAAAAGTATCTGAATTCATTCTTAGTTTTCTTATAAAAACAATTTTTATTATATGCTAGTGTCACCTTGTGCCATTAATAGCACCTGTGGTATTTTATATTGTTTAATAATTTTAAAAATCTTCCTGTATCCACATGTTTAATTATAAATATGCTTTGTTCTTGCTTTTACTCCCCAAATATTGATAAGATGCAAAATTTTTACCCATAAAACAAACACAAATCTTTAAGCCAAACATCATTGCATTTCGAAAAATAAGAACTTTCTTCTTAATCATTATAACCGTTTTGTAACATCATAACAATAATGCATTGATGTGTTGATAGTTGACAGCTTTATAATTTCTTTAAGAGACTTAACAGAGGTGCTGGTAAGGCAGGATGTAGATTCTCTAAGCTTCAGAACTATAGAAGAAAACAGACTTGGAGTATGTTACACCCTTTTAGATATAAATCTCTAAAATGAATGCTTATATTAATAGCTTTAATTTAAAGTCTTTGTGAATAAATAATAACTCTCCTATCAAAATATCAACCTCTTTTCCAGTTTAATAAGAAATACTTAATAACAAATATTATTGAGTCATTTCAGGAATTTCATTTTTTTTCTTATGCAAGTTGAAATAATTTTCACACATTTGAAATATCTGAAAGAACATCTCTCAATTATTATCCACATTCAACTTCTGGTAGCCACAGGTATGCCATCATGTAAAAGGTAACATTAAAATCATTGTCTACTTATCCCTTAATAGGCTGAAATTTGTAGGAGGAAAGGAGTTTGAGCAGAGTCGACTAAAATTTAGTTTAGCTTTATGGATGTGAATGTGACTGTGAGCAAATCATAGCACTTATTATAAACAATTACCTCTACAGTAATCTTGCCTAATTTTTGACAGAAGCCCAGAAATCAGTAGTCTTTAACAGATGTTCTAAAACATCCCTGTCTATAATTTTTCTAAATTATCACAGACTACAGAAATTCTATGGTGGACAGCATTTACGTCGATTCTGCACACAAGTATTAAGTATTAATAATGTCCTTTTTTTTCTCTTGGTAATCGCTTCACATTTCCTTGCTTCCCTTATCACAACAGAAAAAGAACATCAGGGAATCTATAGAAAGTATATTAAAAAGCTCTCTAAATCTCATTCCTCAAACCAAAGTGGCAGTAATACAAACACTTAAAACACAAATTTTTAGGACAAAGATTTTCTTGCATTCTATGGCTTCATTTTCTTAACAGTGTGTTTCACAGAGTAGTTTTTAATTTTAATAAAGTCCAATTTTAATGGGAGCTAGAAGGAAGAAGCAGTGTTAAATTACTTGAGGTCCATCTCCTGATTTCACTTATAATGGTTGATCTAAAACTGTTAACAAGAAAGTACAAAGGCAGCACAAGCAGTGGAATACATTTCCAGGTAAGTAAGGTCTCATACAACACTCAAGTGATCATCACAATGAAAGCAATTCCTCAATAAAGAAAACATTAGCCACCAGTGTTTCTGATAAAGATAGTCACAAAATGCACTGTTACTAGAACTACACAAGGATAAAACCTAACCTAGAAACTTAAATTCTGTGTGGAACTCGGGAAAGAAAACATTCTCTGTACTCCCTATCTGACTCCACATCCCAGAGTCAGAAACTATTTTAAACTTTTCTCCTATCTGTGTTCACTGACAGCTCACTATCTCTAAATCCTTTTTAGGAACAACCTTCTAAACCAAACTTTCGAGCTCTGAAATATTTTTGTTGCCATTATTAATTTATCAATGAAGCCTCAAAACAACTCTTACAATATTGAATTCAAAAATATTGAATTCAATATTGAATATTGAATTCCTTTTCCACTCACTTGTGATTATTTTTACTTTTTAATAGTTAAAAATTTTATTAGACATTGACAAATTACAATTGCATATACTTATGGAATACAAAGTGATCCTATTATATATTATATATGTGTACACACACATATATACACATATACATATACACACACACAATGTGGGATAACTAAATAAAGCTAATTAATATATCCATCGCCTCAAACACTTGTCATTCTGGAGAACATTATGCTAAGCAAAATAAGCCAGGCACAGAAAGACAAATGCTGTGTAATCTCATTTGTATGTGCAACTCACTCCCTTTAAAACTAGAAGCATATTTTCAGTTAGCCTTCTAAAATTACTTAGGTACATACGCATTTTTATCATATAGCTTATGCTATAATGATATTTTATAATATATATTAAACTAATCACTGTTTATCTTTCTCCTGAAACCTTCACATTATGTTCAACATAATAACGACAATCAATGACCTAAGTAGGTTTCTATATAAGGCTATCATTTACCGCAAGCCCAAGGTAATTATACAATTCAGTCCTTCTTTGTGTACACTGCTTCAGTCACAAATTGATCAAACTTAGATGAAAAGTAGCCATCAGTGCTCCTATTTACTATTCAAATGCTCAAATAAGCTTTTGTTCAACTTACAGTTCCCTTAACAGTGTAATAATCTTTCCTCATTCTCCAGAGATTTTCAGTATCACCTAGGCACCATCTGGCAATAATAAGAAATATGCCTACTTAAAGTCCAATTGAAATGCAAACTAAATGCAAACTACAAAAAGAATTTAACAGCCCATTGGCAGTTCTAAAATCTAATTCATCAAACATTTCAAATGACCATGAAAGTCTTAAAACTCATATTTTGAAATCATGACCTGCAATAACTGTCAATTGACTGTAATGCCCTAGACTTTACCCCAAGCTAGTACTTACATTACAGGCCAATTTAACAGTGACCACACATGAGTTCTCCATGCCAAGCTTATGCAAACACTGAATTATGAAAGTCAAACTTTTTCTGAAACTGAACACATATAATTAAAAACCATCAGTAGTACACACAACACCTGCAATCTGGCTCACTTAGTCACATGCTAGATATACAGGTAGCCTTTTAATAGCATGGTAATAAAGACAAATCTTTTTAAAAAACCACCAAAATGGGTTATCTCTTTTCCTATTGACTTCACAGACATTATGCAAGTTACTATAAGAATAATTCTTTTTTTTAATTTAAATTTTTTAAATTATTTATTTATTTATTTTTAAAAATATGACAGATTCTCGCTCTGTCATCCAGGCTGGAGTGCAGTGGCACGATCTCGGCTCACTGCAGCCTCTGCCTCCCGGGCTCAAGCGATTCTCCTGCCTCAGCCTCCCAAGTAGCTGGCATTACAGGCATGTGCCACCACGCCCAGCTAATTTTTGTATTTTTAGTACAGATGGAGTTTCACCATGTTGGCCGAGCTGGTCTCGAACTCCTGACCTCAAGTGATCTGCCCACCTCGGTCTCACAAAGTGCTGGGATTCCAGCAGTGAGCCACAGAGTCGGGCCTGTAAGAATAATTTCTAATGCATCTTGGTATTTCAGCAGCTCCTACAATTATATAAGTGCATAGCACCACCTCCTTCTAGCTATGAAAGGTACAAACTTTAGTAATCCTCTGTCTATCTAAATCTCACATTGATTTGATTTCTAAGTCACGTTGACTTCTGTAATATTTTGTCATTTCTACGGTGACTACCAGGCATTAATCCCTTGATAGAAGTACCCTATCTTCCCAATCTGTCTTCCTGTGGTTTTTCATTTGCCTTTCCACTCCCTTTTTAAGACTTCCAGTGACCACTTACTGCTACCAGAATAAAATACAAGCATTTTTATTTCATCCAAAATTACCTTTCTGGTTGTAATGTTTCATTATATTCCTCTCTGTATGCTGTACTCTAGCCCCACTGGACTATTTACATCTACAGTTTGAATTCATGTTAGCCTTCACTCATGTTAATGCTTCTCTCTGGAATCTGCCTTCCTAACCCAATTGATTTGCCTATGTAAATACCCCTTCCCTTTAAAAAATAAATAGACTAGTTTTAGAGCAGTCTTAGATTAATAAAACACATTAGCAGAAGTTACAGAGAATTTTCTTATACCTCCACTCTGCCATCACACAGTTGGTCCTCATATTAATATCGTGTAATAATCTGTTGTATCTCTACATTTGAAAAATCAATATTGATGTATTAACCACAGTCCATAGTTTATAGCAGAGGTCACTTGTTTTATCCCTCCCCGCAACCTCTGGCAATCACTGATCTTTTTAGGCTCTATAGATTTGCCTTTACCCGAATGCTAGCTAGTTAGAATCACACACTATTTAGCCTTTTCAGACTGATTTGTTTCACTTAGCAATTTGCACTTAAGGTTCACCCAAGTCTTTTCAAGGTTTGATAGCTCATTTGTATTTATTGCTAAATATGTTTCCATAGTACATATATACCACAGTTGGTTTATGCATTCACCTATTAAGGCATATCTTGGTTGTTTCTAATTTTTAGCAATTATGAATAAAGTTACTATAAACTTTGGTGTATAGGTTTTTGTGTGAACTTAAGTTCTTCATTGATTTGTATAAATATAGGACTATGTTTACTTTAGTTTAAAAAATGCCCAAAATGTCTTCCAAAGTCATTATAGTATTTTGCATTTCCATGAACAACAAACGGAAAGTTCCTGTTGCTCCAAATCTTTGTGTGCAATTGAAGTTGACAATTTTGGATGTTAGCTATTTCCACAGGTGTTCATGGGTATCTCCTAGTTGTTTTAATTTGCAATTTCCTAGTGACATATTATATTCAACATGTTTTCATATGCTTATTATCCATCTGTGTCTTAATTAATGAGATGTCTGTTTAGGTCTTTTGTCCACTTTTTAATTTGGTTGCTTATTTCTTATTGTTGAGATTAAAGTTTCTTTGTATATCTATCAGTCCTTTATCATATATGAGTTGTGCAAAGACTTTTCCTATTCTTTTGTTTGTCTTTTCATTCTCTTAACAGTGGGCTTCATGGAACGGTTTTTAAGTT